TCTGAAGACAGTCAGTTCCCTCTCAGATAAATCCCCACAGCCAGTTGTATCACAATTCGTTTTAACATCTCAACCGACTTCAATCGTTACATATTTCTAACGATTTTAACTGGCTTGTGGTGCATCAGTGCATCCTTTCTCACAAGATGTAACTAGGGCTGAAACGATTGGTCAACATTAAAATTGTCGACAAAAAAAAAATTGTCTACAAATATTTTTGTTGTCGAATAGTCGTTTGATCTACTTTGACCTAATTTAAGGGCCTGCAATAACGCAGTTTGGCCAGTGTGGCGCTGTAGCGGAAGACTGTAATTCAGCACTCCCAGATGCAATTCAAGAGAAGAATACACACAGCGCTTAAGAGTCAAGAGTGTAAACGCAGCCGTGTATGTGCTGCACGCTTTCCTCTCAATAACAAAATAAACATACAACAAAAATGACAGCGGTAAGAAAACAGCAGTTAAGAAAGCATCTGAACATAGCGATGTGGATTTATTTGCATGAGCTCTGCAAATTGGCACTCTAGTCGCGTTACGTTTATTTATATAGGCCTAGTACTTTATACAAGAGATTGATTTAAAGCTAGCGGCTTTATAGTATTAAACGTGAAAAAACAGTGTCAGTGACGCTTTCAATCGGTTGTAGAATTACAACTTGATTTTCTGTTATAAATCAGCTATCCATTGTGGAGCAAACTTATGATAAAATCTGTTTATAAGTGAATGCAAAAATAAATAAACAAACAAAAATGTTTGAAAAGCTGAAGTGCTTACCTTGTTTTATTCATTAGTTAGAATATGTCTAACTCCGTATTTTCACTAATTGTAAAAGCTGAATAATAGAACAAATCATACTGATTATCCTATCTGTGAAATAATCGACGATTAGTCAATGAATCGTAACAATTGTTAGATTAATCTATTATCAAAATAATCGTTTGTTGCAGCCCTAGATGCAACTAACGATAATTTTTCACTAAAATATACTTTCAGCCACAGGATAATTTTGCAGATGAATTCATATGTTCGTCAGTCTGCACTAAACCACAACACAACAACAGCCAAAAAAAGATGTTTAAGACAAAATACTTTGGAGTGAGAGCATTGAGATTTCACTGGGAACACAATCATTCTAACACAGCTCCCTTGTGGGTTGTTTAAAAAGCCCCTCATGTAGTCATGTCTGACTGTGCAAGAACCGGCTCTAGTACTGAACTCTCACTGTCCTACGAGTCCTGACCGGCACAACATACAACACCACAGTCACATGACATACAGTAAAAGAATGACATCAATGAAGCACATCATCATGAATCACTCACCGAGTTATCGTCTCATCTCAAACTCTCGCTACCTGTCATGAGCACACAGAAACAGACGCTTGAGGACAGCAGCAATCCTTTAGTCACAAGAGGCTGAGTGCACGTCAAATACACAAACCTAGAGCCTCATGATTTCAGCGGAATTGTGCAATTTTGGCAAAATTTGGATGAATAAATCATAAGTAGGGCTGTTCACAATATGGTCTATTGTCTGTGAATATTGAAGCACAGACAGACTGCTGTAAATGTGAAGTCTGTATGTTGTGCGTGTCTCAGTTTGCTCTACTACACATCCTTAAGCTTGTGTGATGCTCGTCTGGATCTCAAAAGGGCCCTATGATTTCTGCAATGCAGTCTCACTAAATGAGGACATAAATACATGAACAACATCTCCAGAACTGCTCTGAGAGTCATTTCAAGACCATTTGACCGTTTCATTTGAGAAAAGCTACATACACACACAAACAAAACTCTCAAGGCAACTCGTCAGAATAAAAGTTAGGTTTAACTTGAAGAAATTGTGACAGAATATTACTACTACTTCTGTTAAAACTTTATTTTTAAGGAATAGTCACACCGATTTTCTTCCATGCTTTAATTGTAACAGTAAACCTCTGTTTAGACAAATTAGTTTGTTTAATATTCATTTGACTTAAAAATTAAATTGTTTTATGCCATCATTTGATTACCAGAAAAATTTGAGTGCATTACTCAGAATTTCTGTTGAAAGAATAAATAATTAAATAAAAGGTTTTGATTATTAAAATGGAATCCAGAAAAATTAAAATTGAAAACACAGAATTTGGTTAAAAATGTAATTAAATTAAACAGAATTTAGGAAAAATAAAATGTATTTCATACGGCTCTAAAAATGCATTACTATTTTACATTTTATTAAAAATGTTTTTTTTAAATATCAACATTTGTTGTTTTAATTTTAACATTAGATAAATCAATTAACTGATTAAAAAAAAAAAATTTGCTGATTAATTGCTGCAGTTGTTACAGTTGCATGAAACATTAGGCCTATATTTGTTTCCAAAAGCGGGTCTGGGTCTGGGTCTGGCTGAAGGTAATCATGTGTATTTTGTGCTGGCAGAGCACACAAAAGCTTTCGGGCTCAATCAAGAACGATCTGTCCTGCCAAAGAACCAGAAATGTGAGCAGCCCTTTGGTTCTTCTGAGCGGGGTCACCCATGTAGCTGCCCTCTCTGCTATCTTATGTACTACGGGCTCTTTACGCACGACGTTGTGTGTCTAGCTCTTCACAACAACATTTAAAGAAACAGGCCAACAAGACCACAGAGAATATCATTTCACCAAGTTTAATCTAATTACGGTTTCACATATTAACTGAATGAATTGCTCATATTCATCTGGATGCGTTCCTGGGAAGATTCTGCCTGTAGCGACCTCAAATGAAAACGGGAGACAAACATAAACACATACGAGGAGAGAGTGGTGTGGAGAAGACATAATACAGGATGAGAGGTCATAAGGTCACACGGCACACGCTCAAATACAGCTGCTGTCCTGAATCCTGATCTCACAGCATTCAATCACTTGTGCTGAGATAACATCAACATGTTCAACACTAGTTAATCATAAAACAACACTCAACTTACACCATACAGTAGTGTACATATTTTTAAAGGTTGGTCATATATTGGGCTTTTTAACAGCCTATGCGGATATCAATATAGTTCAAGATTGTGGCTGAGTGCCAGTTGATTGACAGCACATGAGATATACACTTTCTAAATCAGCACAAATATTTGACGTTTCCATTATCAAGTTAACTGATATATATTAGACACTAAAAATGTTATTTGTCCAATGGTGAGGATTGAGGAACCCATCGAACACGTGCATGTCAACCCAACAATGTCTATTACACCCTCCTTTACCTTGTTTCGTCATGATTTTGTACTTAAAATAGAAAGACTGAAAAAAAACTTGTGCTTTGTCAAAGTAGTCACCATTTAACGCTATCCTGATTTACAATTGTGTTCATCAGTTCTTCCATTTTAAATTGTTCTCTTTTAGTTTTATTTCCATGTTAGTAAGTGTCTAACGATGTTTATATGTTCCCTGTCTCGCAATAATAAAAAATGTCTACCACTGCGGTTCTCAAACAGGGGTCCGGGAACTGCTAGAGGCCACAAGATGGCTTAAAATGATTGAAAATAAGACAAAACAAGGTTTCAAATAAGCTAAAAATCAAGATGTAAGCAGAAATCATATTTCTTATTTTAATTCAATCCCTTATCAACTACCATTTTTATTTAATTCATTTACTGAATTTAATCAAATTTAATTCATTTCTATTCAAGGACAACCTGGATACACTGTATGTGGAAATTTTTAAAAGTGTGATTTCTAGATGCAGAAAGGTCATGGAAATTGATACAAACAGTAGTTTCATTTTTTTTTATATGACAAATATCATATCCTATATTTTATCAAGCACAAATGACTATTTGTGAGTAAAATAACCATTTAAAAAAAAATACAAACTGAATATCATATTCTATAATATTTTATTAAGTAGACATGGCTAGCCTATTAGTGAGTAAAATAATCATTTAAAAAAAATAAAAGACAAACTGGATATCATATTCTGTACTATTTTGTCAAGTAGAAATGGCTACTTGTGAGTAAAATAATAAAAAAATACCAACAACAAAAATCATGTATATTAATTGGTAATTAAAGTCTAAACCATGCAAAACATTCAGTTATTGTAATGATGGAATTTAATAATTTCACTGAATAGACTTTCCATGTTGCCATTTCTAATTTCCACGAATAAAAAGTCTGAAAATAAGCAGTTTTGTTTTTATAAGCAGAAGTATCAGAAATACCCAGTAGCCTTGGAATCCCCCATTACTTCAGGATCCTTTAAATCCCAATCTTATTTCCAAATGCTTAAAATCTAACACTCCAAATAAGCTAAAGATGAACGATCCAAAAAATATGATAATATCAGTGTGCAACAGAAATGAATACAACGCCAAATGCAAATATCAGTGCTTTACTCTGATTCCTGCATCATTCTGATGGGAAGAAGGCTGTCGTGATGGATATTCTGTGCATCTGCATGCTGCACTGACACAGACCCGCGTCCCTATGTGATCTCAGGCAAATGATCTGAATGCGTGAATGCACGGACAGCACGAGGTCACGTGCCAGTCTCGCGGCTTATCACGCAAACACGAGCTGCTTTTATCATCACCAACACAAAATTATGAGTACATTTAGCGAAAACGCCGCCAATAGTGCAGCGGACTATGGACTTGGTGAAGTTACACAGCATCGCTAACGTTAGTTCTGCATTTAATGATCACTCGGCAGGCGCACAGAAAAGCCGAGGACTGACAGGAAATAAAATAAGTGCACTGAAAGGCTGTGTGGAATAAATCATACGTTTAGAGAAAGACTCGTCAGATCCGGTGACATAAACCAACAAACGGTCGCCAGACTGCGCTAACTAACGTTAGTTAAACATTCAGGCTACACATGGAGATAACCTTACGTAACCATAAACAAACACGACTCTAGGCTAAATATATTATATATACATATCCACACCAAAATTAATTCAAGTGAATCTGTTATTTTAACGTTACTGCTCTCCGGAAGCTGCAGATGAAAAACTCGACACGTAACTTAACGTTACCTGAAAACCGCGTCCTCCTTGCTGCATTTCGCGGGCGGTGAAAACGCGCTTCTTTTGTTGAAGAGTTTATTAAATAATGTGGGGGCCATAATGGACCCACAGTTTTGAAGGAAAAATCCTCTTTTTGTGTTTAATTCTCGAGCCACACTCGACTCCTGCGGACGTACTCCATTAGTGGGCCAGTCATGTGACTGCCGTTAGTCACACGAGCTGCTTGGCAACGCCACTGTTCTCTGATTGGTCGATTATTCGCTGCTCTCCCCTCCGCTTTCCTGATTGGCTGATATTTTGATTCATAGACCACGTGGCCAGAACGGCTGTGTTGATGTTTTGGGGTTAAATTTAAGACCGTCGCATTTAATCACGGGCATTTTGTTCTTTTTATGCTCGGTGATACACAGAGACATTAAAAGAAAGAGCAATTGCACAATTAAGAATGTTCTGTATTCGCCTTTTTAATATTTATTCTAATATTTTTTTCTAATATGATTTCATTTGTAAAGTTCTCTTTTCATTTAAAGCATGTACAAACCTATTCCACGAGCACCGCATTAAAATCATCCATTAAGTACATATTACATAACCTGATCAGTTTTAACTTCATTTTACATTGGCATATTCCAAGAGTTGTATATTATTCAGCGCTTGTGTTTGTTTAAGAAGTCTCACTCCAGTGCATGGCCATTCAATTCAATTCAAATATTTGTAGAAATGTAAACCAAGCACTAGAAGAAGTGTTGACTGTCCTCTGCTGGTCAGATATGATCCAGGGTTTCTTAACTTGTAAGAAAAGAGATGTTTCGACTGAAGTCCTCTCAGATTGAGATGATCTATAAAGAACAGAAATGCACACAAAAGGAACATGAATTTCATTGAAATTTCAAAAATGTCAATATGTGGAATGAGAAAAGAAAATGACCGGTTTGGCAGGAAACTTAAACAAGAGTGTTTGTCTGAGTCTCTGGGAAAAGGCTTCCCTCTCACGCTCATTCGCAAAGTCAAAAAACTTCCCAGGCCTTGAGGAAACGTCTCGGGATCTCGCTGGCACTCTTCCGCTTGCTTGAACCGGCTTTACTCCAGAGTCCTGCTGGTCTGTCTTACCACGTTTATGGCTTGATACGTTTCGAATGCTCACAATATCGCTGAACGTCACTTTTCTGCATTTTATTGGTTGTTCCTTTTCTGCAAAACACTAAAAAGGGAAGTTTTTCCTCATTATCCTGTTGATGTTATGATGCTATCCAGACTCTATTCACCCCGTGATATCATCAGGAGCATTACTCATTTCTAGCAGAATGCAAGAGGGAAGCACTTAGTCACACAGACATGAATGTGACCATACATAGGCATAATATGAAAGACGTAATACAGTATTAATCACCTTTTTCACAACAGGGGAAAGAACTACAACCCTAGTATTCACAGGCGTTCTCTCATTAGCTGATTTTAACACACATCCTGCAAACAGCGGAAACAGAGCTTTATTTAATAAAAGTAAGTAAGAAAGAAAAAGTAATACCATCTACTGTATTCATAACTTGCATGGAGTGAAACTCGAGTACCTGATGCAATATCTGATGCCAAGGTTTCAGAGGGCACACGTAAAGGAGAGAGGCTGAGAAATATATCATTTTAGTAACATTTTTGTGACGACGTTAAACTAGTATATCAGCACATATTCATGTATACAGTGCTTGTCAACAGTTTGGAAACGTTACGATTTTTAAATGTTTTTACAAGGCTGCATTTAAGTGCTCAAAAACACTAATATTAAAAAAACAGTATTACGATTTTTTGCCAAAAAAAAAGAAAAACAGCTTTCTATAATTTTTTTCAAGCATCATTATTCCAGTCTTCAGAGTGTCACATGATCCTGTTAATAGAAATGAATTACTTTATGCATTTATATTACAAAAGATCCTATTTCAAATAAATGCAGTTTTTTTAACTTCTATTTATCAAATAATATTAATATCAAAATATTAAGCCACAAAAACATTGATGAAAATAAAAAACATTATTAATAACTGAGCACCAATAATAATTAAGTATATTAGAATGATTTCTGAAGGATCATGTGACACTTAATACTGGAGCAATGATGATTTGCATTACAGGAATAAATTACATTTTACAATATTTTCAAATAGAAAATAGTTATTTCAAATGCCAAAAATATTTCATAATATTATGTTTTTTACTGTATTTTTGATCAAATAAATGCAGCCTTGATAAGCATAAGAGATTTCATTAAAACATTTAAAAATAATGTTTCCAAACTTTAGTTTTTTACAGTATGCGTAAAATCTGAATTATCATCTAGTCTTTTTTTTTTCCAGAAGTTTCAAACCCTTCTGTGTATATGTATGCATAAAGGCCTTACCAAATGTGTGACAAAGGAAACGATTTCTCTTCAGCAGGGTTTATTGATAGCTCTGCATAAAGCGTAACACAGCGCTAAAACATTTATGTGAAATGCATCAGCCCTCACTGCATTAATAGCAGTTATGAATGATAAACAGCCATGACTCACCAAGAATGGAGGAGAGGTTTGGGGCTGCTGCAGTGCCAGATCCTGCGCATGGCTGTGATCCAGAAGAGTTGAGTTTTTCACCGTGTTCATCATCCCTTCTTCACCCAGTAACGCTGTCCCCTCGTCTGAGCGGTCATGAGAGGCACACAAACAGCAGATCATGTTCACTGAAAGCACTAGAAAGTCAAATACTATATATAATGATTTGTACTGAAGTGCCACAATTTGGTCTCCCCGCTTTGAATTGTTTTACTTCAATGATAGGTTAGAATGTTGTGCATTTTTTGAATGAAAGATCAAAAGTGCTGATTTATTTTCACAGCCGCCTTTGCTCATATTTAGCAAGGGTGCCAATATTAGTGGAGGGCACTGTATACACACACATACATTATTATATACTCAATATTCAGGAAGAATATCTATGTAGCTCTTTTCTGTTCAGTGACAGTTTACAGGGTCACATCTGTCAAGTGTTCCATGTAAGGAATTACAGCATGTGGGTTTGATACAACAGGTAAACGGCAACAAATGATACCATAATTGTCAGCTCTGCGAAACTCCTCGATGGATGAAAGCGTCGTGTCCGTGTTTGAAGCTGGAGAATCAACATCCAGACATGCCAACAAGAAGCTGGAAACACCACAGGGCATGGTTATACCTGGTTAATAACACAGAACAGGTCTGCATAGGTCTGTTGTTATTAATTTACAGGAATAACAATTTTTTTACAGTGCCTGCTAAAATTTTTTTTTTCAACTTAAATGTGCTTCTTTTGATTTTTATTAGGCTACCTATTATTATTATTATTCTGCCTAAAAACTGATCTTGCAAACTGTAGGCCCAGTATGGCGTTACTTTTGTGCCTTTTGTATCACACATACCGAGCTTGAGAGCAAAACAAATGATATTGTAATTAAAAAAATAAAAGTTTGCAAATAAAAAGTCTTGTTAAGACGATAATAATTGATAACAAAACTCTGAATTTGAATGGCAAGCAAAGATTTTAGACCTGCAAAAAAATGACCGCAGAACAGAGAGCAGAGTGTATGGGTGCAGAAGGAAGGAAGGAAGGAAGGAAGGAAGGAAGATAGATGCCACCGACAGCAAGAGAACTGAACTGGGCAGCCTACTTCCCCAAAATCAATGTTTTCTTTAGTTTTTTATTTTTTCTGAATCCAAACTCGGAAGCATATAAGAGGTGTGAGAGAGACTGGTGCGGACGCAGAAGAGAGCCGAACGAACTTAGTCGATGTCCATTTCGGGAAGCTTGGCCTCTGTGTTTTCTGGGGCGGCTTGGCCCTTCTCTGGGTTGCCCGCTTGGGCCTCTGAACCCTCCTGTCCGTTCACTGGGCCGTTCTGTTCGGCCGGAGTCTCCTCCTTGGGAGGCTCCACTTTGGGCTTGGGTTTGGTGACGACGTGATTGCAAGCAGAATACAGCTCCTGTATAATGATGAAGACACAGTTAGAAGATTCAGTTCTCAAGAGGACATATATGTGACCCTGGACCACAAAACCAGTCTTAAGGGTCAATTTTTCGAAATTGAGATTTATACATCATCTGAAAGCTGAATAAATAAGCTTTCCATTGATGTGTGGTTTGTTAGGATAGGACAATATTTGGCTGAGATACAACTATTTGAAAATCTGGAATCTGAGGGTGCAAAAAAATCTAAATATTGAGAAAATCATCTTTAAAGTTGTCCAAATGAAGTTCTTAGCAATGCATATTATTACTAATCAAAAATTAAGTTTTGATATATTTATGGTAGGAAATTTTCTAAATATCTTTATGAAACATGATCTTTACTCAATATCCTAATGATTTTTGGCATAAAAGAAAAATTGATCATTTTGACCCATACAATGTACTTTTGGCTATTGCTACAAATATACCTGTGCTGCTTATGACTGCTTTTGTGCTCCAGGGTCACATATCTGCTACGGGGTAATAATGAAACGAGTTTTAAAAAGTGGTTTTTCATTATTATTTACAGCAGGATCTGTATTTTCATGGGTTTAAATAAAAGATTTTTGTTTATCAGAGATAATAAAAACAACTTGTGCATCAAAACTGCTAATTTAATTTACAAAAGTTAACAAGTTTGCAACAGTAAATGTTACAGAACGTAACTTTTTTGAAAAGCCAAACGTATCAGTCTCTTAAATTGTGACACGCAATGAAATTAACTTCATTCTGTAAAGTAAGTGTAATGAACTACACAAAAAATCATTTCAAACATCTCCGGCATGTTTTATAACACCCAAAAATCAAGCATATGTTCTCACCCCTTACACACATTATCATGTCCGTCAAAAACGTATGCTGACTGTCAGTTGGAATATTAGAACTAAAACCATCAACATAACACTCACAGGCATCAGCCACTTCACTGAACACCTGCCGCTGGCTAAGAAATAAATCATTATGCTCTTAAATCCACAGATTTGAATATCATGACATTGATGTCTGTCAAAAAAATAACGTGCACTGCACAATACACGGTAGTATTTACGAGTAGCAGAGGTCCAGGGAATATATGCATTTCCTGGAGAACCCACATTACATTATCGCTTTCTGAGAATGAGGAGAAAATAGCAGCTTCAACATGCTGTCTGTCAGAGACCGTAACATTGTAACATACATAATACACAACGATTTACATGTGGTGTTCTATGATTCTGACGTTCCTAATTTGAATATTTTCAGTATTTTTTTTCTTCATTATTTTGGCAATAGATTAACTATTAAATGAATGATTTTAAGATTAAGTCGTCCCTGTAGTCGTCTAATTTGACTCTCATATGCGGTCCCACAGGTCCTGGAACTTGACAGGTGATTTTTATAAAATGTAGTTTGATCAGTATCTCCTCAAAGTTTGATCAAATTACTTAATTTTACAAAAAAAAAGAAATTTTTACATTATATTTAACTAGCCCTTAGCAGATTTTGAGCCATACGGATAATCAAAATACTGGTGAGGTTTGTACCTTTGTTTTGGCCTGAATCTCTTGGGCTTTAACCACAGGGTCCTGACTGAGACTCTGTTTGCTCTGCAGATTCATTTTGTTGTTCATCCAGGTCATGGTTTCATTCACCTGCTTCTCCACCTTCATCACCTCCAGCTCATCCAAATGATCATACAGCTCATCCTGAGTTAAGAGATAACAGAAGTGAGATTCATCCAATCTGTAATGTATAAAACGCTATATAAATAAATGTGCCTTGACTTAATGAGTGACTACCTTGGCCTTATAAGCCTCGACGACCTTCATGTACTGCTGGATTTGCCTTCCGAGCTCATCCAAAGCTTTTGGCCGCTCCTCTGCCTCCATGAGTCGGTTTTGAATCGGCTCTCCCAGTTTCTAGGAGCAACTTTTTAATGTCATTCTTTTTAATGGGCAACACTTTCAAATTTCAACAAATCAGTAACACATCTCATCTACCTTCAACTCAGCCAGTTTATCGATGTACACTTGCTTCTGCTGGTCCTCTCCTTCTTCATACAACCAGTTTTCAGTGTCCTCCAGTTTCAAGGAGAAAGAATCTCGGTCCTGCATCGAAAGACATTGCTTAATAAAAACCATCGCTTAGAAGCATAGCTATCTTTATGAATGAAAGCAAATAGGGGGCGTGTTAGAACGAGCCGTTTTAGGGGGGCGTGGCAGAGTCTTAACTTTGATAAAGAATATCTCTTTGGTTTTGCAACTTCAGGGATCTTATCTATGCACAATCAGCTTGATTGCTCAAAAAACTTGAAATCGCATCATATGACCCCTTTAAGTGCTTTGCACTCTGCGATGTACCTCATTCTCCACGAGCAGATTGAGCGTTTCACTGGCCAGCTGCCAGTGCAGGCTGTTCTCGATGGGCAGATCCACCGTCTTTGTCTTCACTTTGGCTTTCTTGGCTTGTGGAGGTTCATTCTTCTTCTCCTCCTGTTTGTTGTCTTCTGAAGCCTAAAAGTCATTATAGTCACAGTGAATTTCTCATTTTCCATTGCAAACATTAGGTATTGTAGAGCAGTGGTGGGTTTCAAGGGGATAAAATGCTCCCATATCTTTGTTATTGATGTCAAATTGTGTCCAATCCAACTATGTTTTACCATTAAACAGGTGAAGTGATGCAGTAATCCAATGCACAATATGTCTGTTTAATCAATCGCATGACTCTTCTTATACTGTATATTTTGGACCTATGTAGTTCACTTTTGGTACCGTGTTTGGTTGCCAATACAAAATTCAGGTTTTCTATAACATAAGCATGGTATAATATTCACGTGAGGGTAGGGGTGTGCGATATTGACAAAAAATTATATCTCGATATTTTCTGGGATTTTATCGATAACGATAATTAGACGATATTTTGCTGAGTGTGTTATTGTGCTGGTACCTTAAGGACTGCCGTGGACGAATCATTTAAATGGTTGATTCATTCAGGAACGAAACACCGTCATGTTGCTCAGAGACACAAAACAGCGCTGTGTCTGTATTCGGAATGATTTTTGTTGGCGAAATAGAGCAAAAATAAGCAATATGGTGTCTAAAACGTAAGTCTCTTAATTAACTTGTTGTTTATTGAATTCAATGTCACATTTGTAATCATTTTTTGCATTTTATGGGCATTTTTACCCTTATAAAGCCATTTTTTCTGAAAGTGTCCATTATCGTTTGAGTCAAATTCTTACATTTAATCAGGGAATTAGAATAATAAGACATTTGGGCTGTTACCAAGCAAATTAAATCAACACAGAAGCTGCATCTGAAGTGGCATTTAGATGTATTTACACACATGTATTTTGTTTAATGCAAGACATGAATGCATTTAACCTTCTATTACAAATGCATAAATAATGTTTTGATATATTAAACATAAAACGTTGAATACTGATATTTGAAATGATTTAAAACATGAAAAAAAATCACAAAAGAAAAGAAAGAAAAAGCCGAAATTTGAAATTAAAACCGCCAGTAGGTGGCAGCAAATCACTGTTAATAAGTGAGTCATTGCGATTGAACCGAATCATTTAAACGTTTGATTCATTCAAGAACGAAACACCGTCATGTTGCTCAGAGACACAAAACAGTGCTGTGGCTGTATTCGGAATTATTTTTGTTGGCGAAATAGAGCAAAAACAAGCAATATGGTGTCTAAAACGTAAGTCTCTTAATTAACTTATTGTTTATTGAATTCAATGTCACATTTGTAATCATGGTAATTTTTGGAGAAAAACGGCACTCTTCGTGTGAAATTGAATAACTATATGAAGTGGTATAAATATATAAATTTTCTGCCATCATGTCTTGAATTTGTGATCATTCTAAATGCATTTTAATAGACTGAATCATGCAGTGAAAGAAAACACACAATGCGCACACGCACTAGTCTAGACTTCACGTAATGTATGCGTGCGCTCTGTAGGGATGTTTTGAATGGTTTTTGCAAAATACTCGATAATGTCAAATCGCACATCGTTAAAACAACAATTACGATATTATCGCAGACGATATATATCGCACACCCCTATGTGAAGGCACATATAAGCTGTAAAATGCTTTTTAAAAATTGCATTTTTGATTTTATGTCCCTTTTTTTCCTTTCTCTATTTCTTTTACATTGTTTTGATATTTCATGTGACAATAAAATAAAAAATAATAAAAGCATCAGTCTGTCAATAGGAATGAACCTTGGCTATTTTTAGATGCACAACAAGCAGGCTGCAATTGGAAATGCATGCTTTTAAATACATTCGTATTTTGTTGAAATGTTGTATATCTGGTGTTGGTGTGCAAGTGTATTCACACACCTCCATGTCTTCAGTGTCTGATTTCTTGTCTGCATGTTCTTTCTGATCATCACCTTGAGCCTTCTGTACTTCTTGATCCACTTGCATCTTGTTCTTGAAGGAGCAAATATAATCAATGTTCACAGGGTCTTGTAAATGACTATGGTCACAAACACACTCAAAACGTATCGTTTAGCATGTGTACGGAACAAAAAGTGGCTCCTACTAACCCAAACTCTCAATCATTTTGAATGGTTTTAGAAACGTTTGTTTTTGCATCTCACAAGTGTAAATGTATGGAAGCTTATTTCCACCACAGAATAAAAAGCTAATCAAAACGGCAATTGCGACTTTTTAGGCTCACAATTCTGACCTTTTCCCCGTCACACTTCTGAAAGTCAGAATTGTGATTTTAGTATTTGCAACTGCAAGATATAAATTTGCAATTTTGAGGAAAGAAATCTAAATTGTGAGAGAAATTTGCAATCACCGTTTCTGATATATTTTTATTCTGTAGCAAAAATAAGCTTCCATATACACTTTCGCTATTCAGTATTCATTTCAGAAGTGACTCCTGTATTCTGTACACACACACAGAACGACAGTAAAGGGATTCACTTCCACATTAAAATGTATAATAATGCTCACAAAACAAGTAAAATCTCGTTTTTAGAGCTAATGCTTCATAAAAGATTTTTTTTTTTTCCTTAAACCAACTGCTCTGTGCCCAATGGATCCCCTGATGTCATGGGATATACAAAACCATTAGGAGTGACTTTACCTCATCCTCTTTGGCTGGAGTGTCTGTCTCCATGGGTTCCTCTCCCTCTGCAGACTTCACAACCTCCACCAGGGAGGCGCTGGACACACTGAAGACCCCGTGCACATTCACACGAACCTTCACCTTCACCTTGGAGCTCTCGCCGGATGGCTGAGGCACCACCTTCTGGATGTTAAACTGGCCTGTGGACAGACAAAAATAGTCAAAAGGGTTGCACAATTAATCATAATCATGATTTCTGCTTTTCTCGATTAAGCATAATCGCCTGTGAAACTGGCTTGCTGGTTTAATTTTCATTTGACATTTCCATTATCTTGCATTGGTATTGAGCCTCTACAAGCTTTCTTTCTACAAGATGAAACCCTCAAAAATGTATCCAGTTTCTTAGAAGGATACTTTTTCTGCCCAGCGTTTTACTAAATCTTCCCAACCTGGCAACCATGCTGAAAATAGTGACAAACAAGTATGTTATGGAGAGTGAAAAATTTAAGGGGGTCTGAATACTTTCTGTACCCACTGTATATATATATATATATGGAGTTTAGCGATCTCTACTGTGATTCGTTCACAGGGTGCTGTTTGCTGAGACTAAATCTGTGAGCAAACCTTCTCAGTGATAAACCGTATTAAATCCAAACATGAATCTCAACTATATTGTTCGTGACTGTGGTTGCTGAATCAATGCACTTCTGCAAACTTTTCGTTGCTTTAATAAATAGTCATTAAACAAAAGCAAAAAAAAAAAAGTATAAATATATGTGTGACGCGAATGTCAGTGATATATGTACATATATATATACATACATACATACACACACACACACACACACACACACATATACATATATAGACACGCATACATTTTTTTTTAAAGTACACTTTAACAATTCACGTCAAATTTGATTTATAAGAGCAGAGCTGTCATGTGAATGAAGTTCGGTGTAACTTTAAGCCACACCACAATAAAATGCACATCTCATCTGTGTGTAGCACTCTATACCACAGTCCTGTTACGCATGTACAAGTGCACATGCTGTAAAATAAAATGCAACCCATTTGTTTGTTTTCACACTTTATTAGAGTAAAACATTCAGACTCTGAATATTATTTGTTTGTTTGTGGACATGTGTAGACTAATACTTAATGAAGTAGTCCTGTGCTAAATTCCAATTAAGCAAAGCAAAGAAGCATTCCCAACATACCCATGGTAGGATCAGGATACGGCAGCTCTTTGGGATTGTTGTAGTAGGCCTCCAAAGAGAAAGGCTCCCTCCGGTAGAAAGTCAACACTTTAGAGAAGGGTGCGGCATGGTTCTTCGGGAAAACTTCACAATCACTGCAGAGCAAGACAATTATGTGACTATTGAAAGAGTGAACTAAGAGAGTTAATCATGACACACAGAGAACCAAGAACGCACCTGATGCCTTCGTCAGCCGCTGAGGTCCACTTCAGAGAGATGGGGTAGGGAACCACTTCTGTAATGGAGAACTCACGCACTTTGAAGGCGGGCGACAGGATTGCACACTGAGGAACAATAAAGACTTGTTTACAACACTAAGAAACACTGTAGGCTGTTATTATGAGAAGCAGCAGAAAAATGAGCTCTGTATGCAAAGCAATATGAAAAAACTGGTGGCACAAATTATCACAGGAAGTCATTATCACAATTCTGTGGTTACAGAATCACACACTTGGTTAGATGATTAGGGCCCTATGAAATCAGTTTTATTTTTTTTTTATCAAAATTCTGTTTTTTTTGTTTGTTTGTTTTTTCATTTTGATTTTTCTGGATTCCGTCACATAATTAACAGGGAAAATATGTTTCCATTAAAATAAGTTACTTTATCATGAAATAACATAATAGGTATTTTTAAATAAAAAAAAAACATTCATAAACTATTTGGAATTTAAGGAGCAATAAAAAAAAAAACAACAACTAAGAAACAACATTTATTTATTATGACTGATTTTATTTGGCAAGAATTCAAATTATATAATATAGTAAAATATTCAATTCAACTGCTATACATTACTATCTTTAAATTAAAGGGGTCATATGATGTTGCTAAAAAGAACATTATTTTGTGTAATGTTTTTGGTGTAATGCAATGCGTTTACGCGGTTTAAGGTCCAATAAACATTATTTTCCACATACTGTACATTATTGTTGCTCCTCTCTGCCCCGCCTTTCTGAATCACGTCGATTTTTACAAAGCTCATCGTTCTGAAAAGCGAGGTGTGCTCTGATTGGCCAGCTATCCAGTGCGTTGTGATTGGCCGAATACCTCAAGCATGTGGCGGAAATGTTACGCCTCTTACAATATTTGGAAACGCACAGCGTTTCCACGACATGGCAGTAGCGGCAACAATACTACAGCGAGAATAAAAGTTACGCCTTCTTTCTTTGCATAAACATTTGGGCGGTGTTATGCAAATCTTCCCACACAGTGAAGTAGATGTGTGGGGGGCGTGTTTGAATGAGGCGTTTTAGGAAGGCATGGGCGAGTCTTAACTTTTAGAAAGAATATCTCTTTGGGTTTGAGACTTTAATCTTTGCGACTTTATGGATCTCATATGTGACTCTGGAGCACAAAAGCAGTCATAAGTAGCACAGGTATATTTGTAGCAATAGCCAACAATACATTGTATGTATGATCGATTTTTTCTTTTATGCCAAAAATCATTAGGATATTAAGTAAAGATCATGTTCCATGAAGATATTTTGT